TTATTGGCGCAAAACGTCCCTACCTATGACAGTCCTTGTGGAAAACGTCTCTACCTATGAATTCTTGGTGCAAACCGTCCCTACCTTTGCATTTTCTTGCGGAAAACGTCCTTCCGTCCAACTCCCGTTAGAATCCACCGTTAAATCCCAAAAAAGAGGTTTTTAATTTTCCAAACTGAAGGGTAAAACCGTCCAAACACCCTAACTTCCCTCCCATCCCATCCCTTCACTTCATTTCACACTTCCACAGGCCTGGGGAGATAGACGGACGTAGCTATTGAAGCCTCCAGAGAAATCACCCTCGCCCTTCACCGCCTCCTCCACCACTCCCTTCACCGCCTTCTCATCTCCGTTCATTCACCTTCCAGGATTTGTTCAACCCCCCAGTGAGACGCGAGCAACTGTAACTGTAAGAAATGGGTTTTTATGATTTTTGACCGTTCTTTCAGTTTTTGGCTTGATCGAACAAAATAATTTAGTTTTCGAATATATTGTCACCATTTTGCAGGTATATACTCGAAACATTTAGTCTTGCAATCAACATGCTTCCTCCGGTTTTGAGGGACCCGGAGATGATCAACCCGTGTACGGTATGTTCTCGAACATTACCAGAAATCTACGTGCTTTTAACCCAAAAAATGATTTGCATTCACCCAATTTCAGTGTGGGCAACCTCAATCGTGATGTGCAGTAACCATATTTTAGGTGATTTTTGACGTGTGAGAGTTGTAGAAATTGTCAGTTTCCAAAGTGAACGTGTTTTTATGATGATTCAGTTTCTGCTTTGTGTGTGAAATTGGGGGTTTTCTGTTGTTTCTGAGAAATGTTCATGACTTATTGAGTTATTTGTATCTGTCTCTCCTACTTGCTGGATATGTTGTGAATTTTCTATTGCGTGCATGCAGGTGGTAATTCTCCATACTTCACTGTTGAAGTTCATCATGGCGGCAATTTTTTTGCAAAGCCAAACAATTTGGTGTATGAAGGGGGGTGTGTACTTTTCATTGATTATTTTCAGGCTGCATGGTTCACAAGGGAGAATTTGATGAAATTCTTACGTGTGGTTGGCAATGACATGGTGTTGGAGTTCTATTATAAGAAGCCAAGGATGAGTTTAGGAAAGGGTTTGGCGAGATTGGCGAGCGAAAGGGATATTAAGAGCATGCTTGGGGACATGAAGGGCCATTCATTGTTGCAAATATATGTCATAGCTCCAATGCAATTGTATGCATTGCCTTTGCATGCTCATGAAGTTGATGACAACCAAATATTTGAAGATTGTTATGTTCCCATTGTCGAAGAGAAGCAAGTAGCGGAGGATGAAGGTACTTGGGCAGACCATTTCTTTGAGGAACATTCTGAACAATTATGGTCACAGTACGAAGAAAGCTTTGAATACCATCAAGGTGAAGGTGCAAATGTAGGTGATAGGAGTGCGGGAATGGATGAAGTTGTGGTTGAAGATGTTACTGAAGAACAAAGTGGGGGAGAGGAAGTAGAAGGGTTGGTGGAATCTGACTACGAGATGGAGCATGAGCATGGGCATGGAGGTACTGGTGAAGCAGGGAGTCAACGAGTGAATTTTGATTTTGGATTTGGTGCAGCGGATGCACAGCAAGTTAGAGATTGTGATACCGACTACGGAGACTCCGATGATTTAAGAAGCATTCACAGTGAAGAGGAGGGAGGTGGGGCTCCTAGTGATGCGTTCAACGTTAGTACAGACATGGAGGATCCAGTGTTTAGAACAGGTTAGTTGAAGAGTTTCTTTACTACGTATTGTCAAAGTTATTTTGTTCATTCGAAGGTCCTAATACGTTTGTTATGCTATGCAGGCATGGTATTTGAGTCTAAGGCCATCCTGAAGGCTGCAATCACTGAACATTCAGTTCGTAGAAACAGGGAGATCAAATACAAGAAGGATGACGCCTGCAGACTGAGAGCCATATGTAAGGGGGATTGCCCATGGTTGTTATATGCAACGAATGAGCATAAGAAGACAAGTTTCGTGATTAAAACTTTAGTCGAAGAGCATACATGCCCAATGGTTTATAAGAACTTCAGAGTGAGCTCTACCTATCTGGCCAGTAGGTACTTATCTGATTGGAGGTCCGAACCAAAAATGTCAGTTAGTACATTCATGGAAAGGGTGAAGAGGGATGGTTTGGGTGACATCTCACCTTGGCAAGTGTACAGATGCAAGGAGAGGGCACTTGAAAAGATTCGAGGTACTGTGGTTGAGCATTATAGAATATTATGGGATTATTGCGAGGAGTTGAAGAGGACAAACATTGGAACGACTGCTTTGGTTGAGGGGTATGCAGGTGAATTCAAACGATTGTACATTTGCCTAGGAGCTTTGAAGGAAGGTTTTCTTAGGGGTTGTAGAAGGTTAATAGGGGTAGATGGTTGCTTTTTGAAGACAGAGCATGGTGGACAGTTGTTGACTGCAGTGGGGGTGGACGCTAATAATGGTATGTATCCAGTGGCGTATGCAGTTGTAGAGGTTGAGAATGGGGATAACTGGAGATGGTTTCTGGGGTTGTTGAGGGATGATTTGCACATGCACGTCAGTGAGCACTGGACTTTTATTTCTGATAAGCAAAGGGGGTTAGTTAATGCAATTGAGACATTGTTCGAGAAAGCGGAGCATAGAACGTGTGTCAGACATTTGTACAATAATTTCAGTGCTTCTCACAAGGGATTGTCTTTGAAGAATTGTCTGTGGGATGCAGCCAGATCCACGACTGTGTTACAGTGGCTTCAACACATGCAGCGAATGTTAGACTTGGACCAGGCTGCGTACGAATGGCTTGAAGCAAAACCGGCATCTCATTGGAGTAAGTCCCATTTCAAAGAAGGGAATAAATGCGACATGCTTCTAAACAACTTATGCGAATCATTTAATAGTACAATTGTAAGCGCAAGAGAGAAGCCCATTTTGACAATGCTAGAGGAGATTCGCATTTATTTGATGAAGAGGATTGTTGCCCGTAGAGAGTCCTCTGATCACTGGACAGCATCAATAGGCCCTAGAATTCAAAAAAGTGTTGACAAGAATAGTGCACTTGCAAGGGTGGAGTGGGCTGAATATGCAGGAAATGAAAGGTTTCAAGTTCGACACAACGTAGGCACCGTACTAAATGCTGTGGACTTAAGGGCAAGAACATGCACATGTCGCGCTTGGCAACTGTCCGGAATTCCGTGTTGCCATGCCATTGCCTCTGTAGCATCAAGGGGCCTTAATGTAGTGGAGTATGTGGATGACATCTACAAGAAGGAGGCATATCTCATGACTTATACTCCATCCATCTCCCCCATCACAGGCCCGGAATCATGGCCTAACCCAGGTCTCAATCCTCTCGATCCACCAGTGTACACAAAAAGGGCTGGGAGGCCAAGAAAAAATAGAAGAAAAGAGCCAAATGAAGTGGCATCAAGTCAGTCAAAGAGGCAAAGGAAGACTTCTTCGAGCCAGTCAACTACAGAGACATCAACTCCAAGGACAAGATCAGGGCTGATAATGACATGCAGGAAATGTGGTGAACGAGGGCACAATACTCGGACCTGCAAAGGGGCACCACCACCAGCCCGAAATTAGGGCAAATGCTTCAGCTTCTGTCAATTTTTTTGGTTTTTTGTTGAATGAATCAGTGCAGATGGATTGAATGGTTAAGGTTCATTCATGACATTAGTAATTGCTCTAGGATATGCTGAATTGTATATGTTTTGTTGATGTTTTTGAACTGGACAGAAAGTGTACTGGTTTTTTGTTTAATTGACTGCAATAGTATATGCTTCTTCCTATTTTGTTGCTGAGTTTAGATTATTGGGTTTGATTGTTGAGTACTGTAATTGCTATATTCGGTTATTGAGCTTTGTTGTTGATTATTGGTTTTGTTGTGTTCGAAATGGGTGTTGGGGACAGTGAGCTGCAGGTCAGAGAAACAGGTTTCTGGGTTGTATCCGGCGGGGATGTTTTGCACAATTTTTGACAAAGGTAGGGATGTTTTACGCAAAGACAATGTGAAGGTAGGGATGTTTTGTGCGAATAAAATGAAAGGTGGGGATGTTTATCGCAAAGACAGTAAGAAGGTAGGGATGTTTCTCGCAAAGACAATTTCATGCTAAATTGGGAAGACCCATTTATGTTCATCATCTTCTTCATTCTTACTCAATACCTCCATTCACAGAAGCACGTTGTAACTGTTCTTCTCACTTTATCCCTTATTTACACCCTTCGTAAGCATAAAATGGGGATAAAAATCTTCATTTTATCGACCATATTCAATCCTCATATACCCTTCCAATTTATTTTTTTTTAGATTTACTACAGGCACGATGAAGTTCAACCAAAAAATACAGTGATTTCCTTACCGATAAAAAAAAAAAACAGTGATTTCCGCCGGCATTTTTCTTATTTTTTACAATATCCGTGGAATTAATTTTCATAGGCAGTTAGTTATGCCTACCATTTGAAGAAGAAAGGCGGGATAGAAGGGAATGGGAGGGAAGTTAGGGTGTTTGGACGGTTTTACCCTTCAGTTTAGAAAATTAAAAACCTCTTTTTTGGGATTTAACGGTGGATTCTAACGGGAGTTGGACGGAAGGACGTTTTCCGCAAGAAAATGCAAAGGTAGGGACGGTTTGCACCAAGAATTCATAGGTAGTGACGTTTCCCACAAGGACTGTCATAGGTAGGGACGTTTTGCGCCAATAACCCTTTAACTTTATTCATTCGAATTACTAACACGTGCGAACTGTCCCCCTGTCAAGCCCCTGTTAAACAATTTCCTGTACGTGCAGCGTACTCATATTTGTGCCTCGTTTTCAACTGACCGGGAGAAAACCGAAAAGTAAACAAAAGCCCGCTCTGACGCTTCTGGAATCTGTGTAAAGAATTGTTAAACGTCAAAATTTAAGCCTATTCAAGTTCATTGTAATTAGGGATTTAGTCCAGAAAAAAAAAAACCGAGTTAAAATAATAATAGTTCATCATCATGACGATTCTTGAGAAGAAGAGAGTTCAGATTCTGCTCTTCATTGTTGGAGTAATTGCTCTCAGTATCACCGGTAAGCAACTTTTGTATTTTATTTATATATTTTGCTATTTTGTGGGTTAATTTTCAGTTCGTTTATTTTAGTGCACTTCAATTTATGCAAGTCTCAAATGATTTGATCCCTTTTTTGTGCTTTTTTGTTTTGAAATGTTAAAATGAATTACTTCATTCCTTAATTGGGGGGAAAAAAACGATTGCCGGTCAAATTTCTTTTTGACTGAAAATTTGCTAATTTAGTTGAATTTCGTTAGAACTGAAGTAGTCAGGTTAGAATTGAAGTAGTATGGTTATATAGACAATTAATTGGACTATGGAATCTGAAATGAAAGAAAAATTCTGATAAACAGTTTTCCCTTTCTTAATTGTAACAATGTTGACCACAACCTTGCACTTTCTTGCTAATTCTATAAAAGAATCTGATTTTCACTTATATTTGCGTTAAAAGTTTTTTTTTTTTTGATAGGTAATCATATATTTGAGTTAACAGTTGAAGGCACTTTCTTTAAAATTCAGAAATAACAAGAATTTTCTCGATGCAGAACAGTTTGTTTAGTGTAGATCAGTAAAAGGAAAGAACATATCAAGCCAAACGCTTCACGTTTATCAAATTAGACAAAACCAGCAATAATTTAGTAAAGGCCTTAGGGCCATGATTCTTTTAACTAAATTAGTGAGTAGTGCATTATGATAGGCTGTTCATGTGAAAGATCTTCACTTTATTTAGAAATGGTTGTTCTGCATAAATTTTCCTTCCTTGAATGTTGCTTAGTCTCCATATCGAACAATGATTAGAGCTAGTAATTAGGTCTCTTAAAACTACAGTTACTTATTAATGTGAAAGGATCATGGTTTGTATTATGGCATCTCATCATCTGCACCAAATCTGCTATTGGAATTCTATAAATTTGACTACATGAAGAATGAAAATAGAATCAATTAAATCATTGAATAAGCAGGTATAATCTGAACCGCTGCTTCAGTAAAACTTATTTTCGTGCTCTTCATGGAAGCTGCTCTTTCCAATGATGCTATTCTGCATCTCTCTCTCTCTCTCTCTCTCCCTGAAATTGATCAAAACCATTTTTTACATCTAGCAATCACTAGCAGGTACAACAAGATTTTGATTGTATAAATCAGCCATTTTAACCCTCAAAACAATCCTCATATTTCGATTTTCCCAATCATTATTCACATTAAACAACACACCTGCTTCATTCAAAAGCCTATTCACACATTGTCATACTGCCTTTATTTTTAAAACCTGTCTCACGGCTTTCTTAAAGAAACAAAAGATTATTCTCTGGAAAAAGCAAATGTGAAATATGGAGACTTCCTTGTCAATTGGAATAATTTTATTCTATGTCATTCAAGGATTTTTCCATTGTGTTTCCAGACTCGAGCAACTTTAACTTTTTCAAATTGAAAAGGCTAACTTAATTATGGTGTACTCATTTATATTTGATTTCGAGTAAGAACTTTTTATTAATGTAAACTTTCAAGATCTCTGCAGGTGAATTTTCAATATTATTGTGTTTTATTATTATTACTAGCATCTAAAGCTCTTAAATTGTAATTGTGGTAAAGCATAATTTAGTTATATGTGCATGTTTGGCAAGGCTTATGATCGATTATAAGCTGGTTAAACACTTCTTTTATCCACAAATTCCCTAGGTTCCACAACTTTTAACTACTTATCCACTTGATATTCAAACATTCCGTGGGACCTGCAACCTAATTTTCAAAAAGCTTTGCCAAACATGCTGTGCCTCAGAAAATATGGCCAATAACGTTATTGTTCATCGAAAGAGATGAAATATGATGTGATCAACTCCTTAAATAAAAAGTTATATCTTTTGAGGACATCTCCAGTTGGAATATTGTTCTAAGTTTTCATGTATTATTTTAAAAAAGTTTTGATATTTTTCCCGGTATTGTCATTCAAAAATGTAAAAATATTGAATATAAGACTTGTTGAGTGAATCATAGCATAATTCTATATCATATGTCATGACTAATTGCATCAAGATTTTACCTTTAGTTCCTGTATTTCACATTTAGTCATGAGTGAACTTACTGGACACATCTAAAATGAGGCTCTTTAGTGTATGTCGTTCATCAATTATTTAGGTTTAGTTGTGAGAATAAAAAGGGGTTAGTTAAATTATAATTTAGAACTTTATAGAAGCACTTTAAAATATTAGGTTAAGTAGAACTAAGGCAGAGTGCAAATAATGCCGATTTCATAATACTTAACAGTAACATTTAGGATAATAAAGGAGTTATTACAGAGGATCGTGTCCCTCATCTGTTTTCTATAGAAGGTGCATTTACTGTTGATCTCAAATCTATTCACGCTGGTGATAGAAGCAGTAGATTCACTAATATTGGCGGGATTGCTAACACGGTCTTCATGTTTATATGGTAAAAAATATCGAGCAATTTTCAATATTACGAAGTATATGAAAGACCTACTGCAACTAATTGTCTCTCACTTTTACAAGACACATTATATAAAATAACCATGTCCGTTGTAAAGTTATATACCGCTTTTTGTCATAATTTTGTTGCTTATGCACTAGGAGCCTACTTGATGTAGATTTTTTGATAATAGATTTTGTGGGGGAAAGAAATGATTGTGGTTAAAAAGTTGCAAGTCCACGTACAAAATTATTTTATTGGGAGAACGTGTAGTTGAAAATGAGTTTGGGAAAAAATGAGTTTTAAAGAATCTCTACCAAATGAGGGCTGGGCTAGGGAAATTTTAAATAGAAAAATTATGTCTCATTTGCCTTATTGTGACATAGAAACAGGATATGACCAATTTGAGAATTTAAGCACCATCATTAAAACCTCATGAGGCTCAATATTATTTCTCAATCCTCAAGTCTCAATAAAAAGCTGCTAGACATATAATAATTGTCAGGATATCCAAAAGTATAGCTTGTGGCATCATATATAAAAAGATTTGTACGTGTTTATTAAAGATTAACTTATTTTCGGTTGCTGTTGTTCCTTTTTTCTTGTGACAGAGAAACGTGATATTACCAATTTGAGAATTTAAGCACCGCCATTAAAACCTCAAGAGGCTCAATATTATTTCTCAAGCCTCAAGTCTCAAAAAAATATCTAGACATGCAGAGTTGTCAGGGCTCCAAAATTACAGCTCGTGGTATCATATATAAAAAGATCTTTAAAATTGTGTGTTTATTGTAGATTGACTTATTTTCTGTTACTGTTGTTTTTTCTTCTCTTGGAGAAAGTGGTCAAGTTCAGAAACCATTTTCAAATTTTAGATGTAACAAATATGGAAATAAGTGTTCGTTTTTCCAAATAAGGTCAAGGTTTAGTGGTTATGATTGAACCAATGAACCTCATTGAGGTTTGTCAGTGTTCCCATGCTCACTAACATTACGAGGTACATGCTGAAAACTGGTAATAAATTTTAAGAGATTCTACTTGATCCTTGGTACTTTCATATTCCACTCAAGTTATGGATGTTATAATTGATGGTACTTCATTTGATGTTGTCAAACAGCATTTTTGGTTAGGGCTCCAGCGATATTAGCTTTATTTATTCTCAAAGGACCATGCTAGTATGTTTTGAGCATTTACTGACATCTGCTTGCTTAGAATTTAGATGAGCCACAGGATCATACTGAAGTACATCTGACTTTTCTTAGTTGTTTTTGATAGCTTAGAATCTTGATTGTTAACGTGCTCTCAGCTGTCTTATTACACATTTGCATTTATAGATCATTTAATTGGATGAAGCAGCATTTTTTGCTTATGTTTCAACTAAGGCTTATTTTCCATGGAATTTTCCAAGTTCCAACTTTTGTCTTGTTTGATGGCCAAAAATTTTCTTGGCAAAATATTTTCCTCCCCCCCCCCCCCCCCCCCAACCCCACGTGACCCCTTTTCCATCTTTTCATTGAATTGGTTTTCCCAACACTTTGGTGGGAAAATGGTTTTCCAGGTTTTTTATTTTGTGCAATGGAAACAAATTCTATCACCAATGGTAAAAAAAAATTTTTCCTTTAATGGACAATTTTCATGGAAAACAAAGTCAAACGAATATCAAAAGATTCAAAATTTCAACATTTTTCAGGCGAAAAATTATATAAATCAAATACAATTAATTGACAATTCCCAGGAAAACAATTCTAGGCAATTCAATTCTCCGTAATTCATTTTCTTTCCACTCTTACAATCAAACGGACCCTAATTGATTATTTGCCTACTTTGTAGGCATTGCTTTGTAATATTTAGTTAGGATATGTTGTGAATGGCTAATTTTACACCATACGTATTCTTTAAGTAGTCATGTAACAATTGCCAATGAAAGTACTCATATAAATTCCTTTTATAACTAGACATGCAATCATACAAAAATAGGGTCGGATCTTTTTAAAGTTCCCCATATTTCTTCTTGTTACGTAATCCATATTTGTTTCCTTTTCTGTCTTCTTTTCTCTAGTACTTAGTTAAATCTCGTTTTCCTTTTATATAGCTGAAAAATGTAGGGAATTCGTTGGTGAAGAGGCTGCATCCAAAAGTGGGAAATTTACTTTCTTGAACTGTTTAGATGGGGGTTCTGGAACCCTTGCATGTGTGGTGAAGGAGGGTGTAAAACTCTATGTTTACAACATCAGATCTATCCATGTAGAGAGTGCAAGAAACAAGGCAATTGAGTCTGCCTTGTCTGATGCATTAACACAAGGCATACCTGCCAAAGATGCAGCCAAACTAGCCCAAAAAGAAGGAGCTAAGGCAGCGAAACTGGCTACTCGGAAAGCTAAGCGCATCGTAGGTCCCATCATTTCTTCGGGATGGGATTTTTTTGAAGCTCTTTACTATGGGGGTACCATGACTGAAGGGTTCCTTCGGGGCACAGGGACATTGTTTGGCACCTATTCTGTAGGTTTCATCGGAGAGCAAAGGTTTGGTCGCTTTGGTTATTTGGTTGGAAGTCATCTGGGCAGTTGGGTTGGTGGACGAATTGGGCTTATGTTCTATGATGTGGTCAATGGAGTTGAGTACCTGTTGCAGTTTTTTCAACTGGATGAACCTAAAGTTTATGATGATGCAACTGAACAAGTTATTGAATCTACCGGTTTTGAAACTTCTGATGTCTCTGAAGATTCATTTGACAATGCATCAAGTGAACAAGTTTCTGAATCTATAGGCTTTGAAACTTCCGATGTCCCGGAAGATTCCTACATAAATGAAATGACGGCACATACTTCTTCTGATGAGACGAATGATTATGAGAATCCTGCTTACAATAGTCCAGATGACGCTTATGAAGAATTTTAGAACTAGTTTAGTGATGTTGCATGTAATTAACATTTGTGTGATTCTGTCATGTTTTCATTAATCAATTGAAAAATTAGCAAGTCACAATCATAATCTACTGTTTTAGCCTATACACGCCAGCTATAGAGGTTTCATTTGATCTTGATTATGCTGATTGTATTTTTCTAAGACGACACTATTTATATGTATGTTAATCGTATTTTCCTGAGATCTCTCGTCTTTTAAAATTCAATGTCATCTCGAGATTTCTGAATTTTGTTCAGAATGGACGAATCAATTGTGAAACTGACGACATTCAAGACAATTAAGTTCATAATCAAACTTTTGCGACCCAAGTATATCCTCATCCATAAAATCATATCAGGTTATGTTTCTTGCACATGTGAAAGATCAAATAAATTAGCAGGGAAGTAAATTATCTCTATCAATGCTTCCACCAACACGGTTCTAAGGGAAATTCAACTTCAATAATTCAATGCCAAATAAAGTTTCACCAAGCTGATTAAAGATTCATAATATTTGCTTCACATGTAAAGAAAGTTGAATAAAAGCCACAAAGTTGACTTCGCCATTAACAAAGCCAACAAAAATCCATCCATATACGTATGAATCATTTCGAGCAGGCTACTATCTTCTGTACATCTAAAGATATGTTTTTCTTATTAATACGTCAAAGATTCAAACTATGGGAAGTTCAAATGCATCCTTTGCAAGCATAATTAAGTGCCAATGCCTCCAGTTCCTCCAGCAGCATCGAAATACATGGGTTCTGATATGCCATTACTGGGACCTTCCATGAAAGCAAATCTAAGGTCTTCAGACGGCTTCCAGTGTCGCTTCCTCTGGTTTATGAACCAATTGTTGATCTGCTTCTGGTCCAATCCCGTAATTTCTGATAACCTATTTTTCTCCTCTTCCTGCATTATCAAATATCAGTAGTTATAATGTGAAAGAAAGATCTGAAATAAGAGGATACTGATGGGGAGCCAATGAATTCAGATCCATGCTTGTGTTCAGTCTCACTGAAATTCAGGAGTTTTGTGTTTGTTGGATTTTAGACAATGTATCTCTTAGAAACTGTCATCCTAACTCTTTATTGTGTTAATATTACGTTGGAAATGATTTCTTTAATTGAGATTTTAAAAATAACGACGCAATTTGCAAAAATATTAACAATTGTATAGGTTTCAGTTCAAAAACTAGTACTTTTCACAGAAGTTTTAAGTGGAGAGAAGTGCAGGATACATTCTTATCGATGTAATGCAACAACTAATAAACTCTGGCTTATTTCCTTGATTTTCATGTTCTTGAAAGGGACCTAATATCTTCTTATGTCTGATCAAGTAGACAGAACATCCACACATCCAGATAATAAAATAAAAAATACATTGAAAACGATGTGGAACTCAAATTACCGTGGGATATGGCCATTTGTAGTGTGCATTCCACCAGTCTACCAATACCATCCTTGCGTCCTTCGGGAGTTTTCCTTTTCTCCTTTTCCTCAAGAAGTCCTTGCGCAAACTGCTAAGGTAGCCACTGTACTTGCGCATTAGCATTTCTTTGAGTTCATGGTCACCTTGAAGGGTACCAAGAGATTCTTGACTTTCAGTTGCTTCCACTTCACAACTTACATCCTCATCCAAAGTAGCATTCCCATCATCTGATAACAAGAACGATCAAACAGAAATAAAACAAATCTGAACATTTGTTTTTCACTTGGCCAATTATCAACTTGCATATATTTTCAACCATATGTATGCCGTAATGCATAAATATTCTTAATGCAGCTCAATTGATTCTTGTGGAAAAGCCAATCGACTTGGTTCCGGTGAAATGGGGGGAGTAACATGGAGAAAACTGTTTCAGCTCTCGTTTTGGTGATTTGGACAGAAAAAAAATAGCAGAATATCTGAAGGGAAAAAGCAAGCAGTGGCTGACTTAATGAGTAGGTAAAACTTAACTTCTTTACTAGTTTCTACAAATAAGTAGTTCTAGCATTTTCTTTTCTCCTTTATCATTCTTAGGTGAAATTTTTCTCTCAACCCTTTTTGTTCTCAGAAGATGGATGGAAGTAATTCGGTAGTCCAACTGAATTATTCTTTTAACTGGAGAATATATTACTGCTCAATAACAGGTCCATTAATTTCCAGTTTACGTATTTATATAATTTGAATATTGTTGCTGCAGAGTGTTCTCTATTGAAAATATCACAACATTAAGAAATCAACAAAAATATATTCTGTGGTCAGCCAAAAATTGCAAGATTAACTCTAAATTTTAGGCGAGGTCACCAAGAATGATATTCAACCAAAGCAACTTGAAAATTCAATGTCCCATGGCCCTATATTCTTCCCTTGCACTTGATCTAGCAACCACTATTTCTTGGTTTATTCTTCCATGTCACTATATTTCCTCACAAGAACATGCAGTATCTTATTTATGACTTTTGATACAGTTCCCTCTACCTTACAAGATTTAAGAGTAAGGCCGCTGCTATGATTTGATAGCCCCTAAAAGTATGAAGATGTTCACTCTTTGGTTGAGAAGTAACAAGAACGTATTTTTCTAACAACCGGTTGTAAGATCTAACTTTACAGTTTAATGTCCTTCAATTCTTATCACTGAAAATACCTCACTCAAAAATGCCAAAGACTCCTTAATGTGGACGTTAAGACAGACTTTATTAAACTCTACAAGAACTCAAAAATTATGTCGAAAATCAAACTTCCATCGAAGAGAAGCGCATGAAAGGTTAGAAATATTTACCATCCGAAAAGAGGAAAAACGGAGTCTTTGTCTAAAGAAACGCGTTGAGAAAGGGCAGAAACATCGTAGTATCCTTACGGCATTTCCACATAAAATTCTAATAATGATATAACTCCAACTATAACCCCTTCATAGTATTATAGACTTCAATTACAGACATGATAATGTGATCTTGTTCATTTGGGCAGCATCTTGAACCTTAGAGTACGTCTGGTGACAACCTCCCAGTCTCCTTCGTTGTAATCAGGAACATACTTTGCCACTGATTTCGAGGTCCATCAAGTTCAACCATTATATGATTATGGAGTCTTACACTTCCCAAACATCAAAATTAGGATCATCACAACTTGGTTATGTGGTCCTATCAAATAGCTCAAATTCCTTTCCCTTCATCAACATTCTAACTAATCAAGACTAAACAAGATTCTTCGTAGGATCCTGCTGTTATTAGTTCTATTATTTAGTTGGCAAGATTTCACAAATCTGAAAAATGACTACCACTTACTGCTCACAAAATTAGACATGGGGTACCAAATAGGTAGATGATATGTGTTTTACCTACTGTGGTACATGCATTGTAAAAAATTAGGTGAGGTTGAATTTTTTTTGAGTACAAAGAAAATACGAACAGCTTTAATTGCATATTTTGAGAACAGGAAGAAATTGAAAAAATAAAACTTGTCAATTATAAAGTTCCTTCACATATATTATGAACTTCTATATATTTAATCAATTATTGTTTCATATATTAGTTGGGCACTAAAGGACTTCAATAAAATTATCTTATGCATTCAGCGAGGTTGGAACTGAATTTTTTTATTGTTTATGCGAGGTTACTAATTTATCGAACATTCAATTATCAAGGTTTTGTTATATTACTTAAACATAGTATCTTCTATAAAGTAATCTTTATTTAGCCCTTGTTTGAGCTCCATTATTCGGCTAATAATGCATTTTAGAATAGTAAATTGATGGAAAATGTATGGTTAAAAAATAAAGAAAAGTTTTGGATTCACGTGTAATATTATTTTATTGAAAAAGTTTTGTTGAAAAGAAGATAGAGAAAAATGCATTTTGAAAATAACGAGGATCGAACTAGGGCTTATCGTTCAAAAGCATCCCTACATGTAGTATTTTTTTTTTCAATACTCTCACTCTCTAACTTCAATGTGTATATTAATTCTTGGAACTTAGCAATTGGAGGAATATTATAGTACACTGCATCAAGTGAAGCACAATGTAGAATAGGCTCAAATTTAGGTCTTTAGCTTCATTTACACCTATTTAACAAAATACTCCCAAATCTCCATTAGTAAAAGTGAGAGTTAAGATTTTTCATTACATTAACCAAGGTCCATCCACTGAATGAATAACCAAGTGTATTGTTTATGCCAATAAATGAAACCACCCCATCATTATAAAACATGGAGATTTAAAAGGAATGAGTCTTAGCGGGCTATAATAAGTATAGTACATTGTTATGACCTGAAAAATATAACGCGGCGTTCTGCGATAACCTTGGTCATTCCAGCCAAGGCCATTAGCTATTAGCCGATGTCTAATGTTGTGCCAAATCCTCATGTCACATGAAAATGAGGAACAGTGATTCTTAGTAAGCGAAAGCACAATGAAGAAATGAACATTCATACTTGGAATTTCCCTTAAATAAAGCCAATATCTAGAATTGCCATATAGGGAGGAAGATTTTTTAAACCTAAAGGTTTTAATTCATGAATATACATGATACGACAATAGTTAGATTTTAAATAGCTCAAGAACACAATCTAAGGCTGTACTACTGCAAAAATTCTCACATAAATTGAGGTCATCAAAACCAGTAAAAAAATACTTGAATATCCAAGTAAACCATGATATGTAGAGGGTTATAGTTACTGCACCAGATTTACAGCTCAAAGATGGGCAATGTACTGTTAAGGAATTTGAATTGAACTATGGCTATAACAATTCTTTAGTCTGCATCTCTAGGGTAATGCCATACAAATTTATTCTCTTTCATAACAATTCAAGTAGTTGAAAAATTTATCAAGATTTCACTATGAAGGTCACACAAAAGAAGAAAATAATAAAAAATGAAAACATAATGGTAATGGCTTTGTATTATCAACATAAATTGTAGTTGAATTTAATCATACAAGTCAAAGACAACAAACCATACAAATAGACAACACAATATATGATGAACAAAATCTCCACAAAATTCTTTTTTCCTTTGTGAGGTCAAAGGTGAAGTACATCTAACACCTAGTTATTAGATGCTAACCATACGCTACTCCTGAGATTCACAACAATTTGAAGCATCAAAATAGCATACAATCAATTCCTTCACTTTGTATGTTTTGAGACTTTAGTACCTTTTTCTCCACGTCCAAAGGATAGAGATGGTATACAGAGAAAGAAGCTCGATGAGTCATCCTAGGTTACAGAAGAGTCGTCCGATTCTCAGCAACCAATAAGTTCTCATGTGTAAATCCTTTTAAAATATGTGTGAGCAGTTTGACAAATTTATGGTTATTTATTATTTTCAAAAGACACTGATGGATACATCGAATTTCTCCCTACAAATTCTCCTCTCATTCTCTTCTTCAGTTTCTCTCTCTTTCTCCATCATCAAAGATGCAAACGCACATTTAACATGCATGTAAGAAGATAGATGAATAATATTCTTCAAGTTTCTTTAAAACTTTGATTAACAACGTCTCATGTAAGGAATCATATCAATCATCTCCTCAGGGTGCAAGGGCATATAGCCTGTAAGTGTCCAACAAAAAATATGAAGTATTGTCCACCACTGTCATCTTGAGAGATTCAAGAAGTTCTTATAGTTTAATTATATAACCATTTCATAAGATGGAGAGCATACCCTTTGTAATTAAAAATACATTCTATATTATCTGCTGTCTACCAGTTTTTTTTTTCAACTGATATTTGATACTACATTAATTATCTTAAGCACTCATAATGTGGATGTTAATCGAAAAAAAAATTACTAAGCCCCTATTAGAGAGTCATTTTTAAAACTTATTTTCTCAAATTCATTTTTAACAACAAATTCTTCAATAAAATAATTTTACGCATAAACCCAAATCTTTTCGCTACTTTTAACCCCCCACATTCTCCACGCTAAAAAAATTTAAAAAAAAAAAAATCACTTTTTACAAAATCTATTCTCAAAAGTTCGAGTTACTTTCAAAATAAATAATTTTTTTTTAACTTATTCTGTTTAAATGCAAGATACATATTCTGAAGCTCAGCTAACATGTTATCCTCTACGATTTCAAATGCACATACTGTAGGAGATAAGAAACAAAGTCTGACAAAATAATGCATTTAGAATTTAATTTCCCAATAGTAATTACCAAGGATGCAACGCTTTAAAAAAATCAAAGAGGGCCGAATCTAGAGAATTATTGAACACACTTGAGTATATCTGATCTGACAGAACCTTGCATGGGAAATCTAACTCAAGAAACAAATTTACCTGCAGAATGGTAGTTTAAAGATGTGGTGGTTGAGGCAAAGGTATCTTTACAGAGATCACGGAGCTGAAACTCGATGTTGCTTAAAAACGATTTCGCTTCATCAAATGGCTTTGACAGTTTCTCCTTGTATCTGTGTAGAACCTCACAATAAGATGTCTTCAAACCCAGAAGAAAAATAACAAAAGGTCAAAACTCAAAATAAGTTAATTATAATTGTACGCGAATCTCTGAAAATATTCATCAGTACCATAAATTCATCAAGTTCAGGGTCAGCTCCATTAGAAATGGTGGGGTGGGTTTCTTTGCTGACTTCTTCAAGAAGTGAAGCCATTTCTGGTGGTACTCCCACCTTTCAACACACCAAAAAAAGCTATATTTATTATATATATTAAAAAAAAGACCCATATGTCGGCATCAATGGAGTAAAGATATACAGTGAAGAAGTTTACCTTTCTGCACTCGATGTAGGCAGATACTAGGTTAGGATACAGAGGATGATTAGCAATCTGGGTCTTGATATTATCAGACAGTTCAAATCTTGTAACCTCAGTTTCATGAGCCAGTTCTATTAAAGCCATCTGATTATCATCAACGATTGGACTATGGTTCGCAAACCCAGTACGATTTGGACATGAAATGGAGGGATTAATACGGTTTAACTCATCCATATCTACTTAACCATAAACAAACAGTAGTTGCAGTATTTACTTGAACCCATCAAAATAGTGATATTTGCATTTAGAACTGAAACCAGTGACTTCTAGGAATTCATTGTTTCAACAGTACTACTAGTTAAAACCGTGTGTACACGATTAACACCATAATTCAATCCAGGGAGAGGGAAGGGTTGTGCTTGAAGTTAGAACACCTGAAAGAAGAAAGCGTAGCCCCACTACCACTCCCACCTGAGTTTAAAGTTAAAGTTTGGTCCTTCTGTTTATAGTTGTACACACACACTATTGGGGAAGGACGACGAGACACAAAGAACCAGAGAGAGAAGATAGACTTCGAGGAAAGGACGTATGAGAGAAAAAGAGAGAGAAAGTGACAGGGCGTGGCAGGCAGAAAAATTTAGGCGCACGTTCGTCCACGCTAAGTAACAGTGAGTGTAGTACTTACCAGGAGTAGAGAGAGAGAGGATGATTCGTCTTCCCCCGAAGGTCTACTAACATACACACAAGTATATTTATACAGTGCAATGGCAGTACGTAGTGTAATTGTCAAGGTCTGCAATGACATGACATTCGGCCATGTTTCGAAAGGTGATTGGGTACAGAGTGTGTGTACCTCACTTTTGACTGTAACCTAACTCTTTAGTCTTTATTATACAAACAAAGTCCCTATTGGACGGATCGATTATGAAATGTACACTTAAGACGTGTTCGGTAGAGATTAAAATCGGATTAAAATTGAAAAATTAGTCGTTATTGTTGACTTTTATTAGACGAGCGAGACCCAATAACGATTATATTTTCAATTTTAATTTGATTTAAATCGAAAACAAACAGGCTCTTAAGCATAATTCTTGATACATATTAGCCCATGCTTGATAACTATTATTTTCAGCATAATTCCATTTACTTTTATTGAAATTATACTCACAACCTATGTAGTATTAGGTAACATGTTAAATGAAATGTGAAATTAAGTTTTATTTGCTGGGGATTAAAATTAATTTTTTAATAAATTTTGATAAAAGTTAATGAAACGTGTTGTTGATAAATAGTAGATCTCATGAAATATGTAATTAAAATTAATTATTAAATTTGATTTAAGTTAAAATATTGATTTTAATCTGAACCAAACTGGGGCTAAATGACTAATTTAATAATATTTATCATTTAATGTCACGTTATTGCTGCATAGGTTGAGGGGCAACATTGCATTACTTTTATTTTAATATTTTCAAATTATTTTTTCAACATATTCATTTTTCAACCACACGTTCATGTAATAAAATATTCTGCACATTTTCCATAGTTTTTAACCACACTTTCACCTAAAATTCACTATTCAAACCTCTATTTTTCTCAAATAATGGTTGTCAAACAGGAGTTCAAATTCAATTATGAGCCTTATATTTTGCCCAAAATACATTTTGTAAGAGTATTTCAACGGATAATGTGCATTTAAAAAATAAGAAAATGTTTTGAATTTGCATGCAATATTATTTTATTGAAAAATATGTAGTTGAAAATAAAAACAAAATTTGTAGGTAAAATCAATAATTAGTTTTAACTACTAGATTTATGTCAAAACTTGGGGTTTTATCTTAAAAAATTAATCTTATTAAAAGTAACTTAAACTCTTATAAATTAGTCTATGTTTTCTTTTTTATTCGATGTGTGATTTTATCCCTTTTAATGATACCATGTTAAGATTTGAGATTCCATCTTAAAATGTCAATATTATTAAGATGAGTAGCTCAAAATTTTATAAATTGGTCTATATTTTCATCTTTATTCGATGTAAAATTTTTTCCCATAACAATTTGTAACTTTTTAATTGAATATTTTATCAATTTTTATCATAATTTAATAAAATTCAATTTAATCCTCACAAATGAAAACCCAAAGACTCCTTCACAATGGAATTCCAGTCTCCACTCCACATGTTCACACGCTATTTTCATTGCCAACCATATAAAAGCTGTTTATAGACGACTTGCCCCATATTTGATTCCATTCTATAAAAAATATTTTTTTTTTATATTCATTTTCAACTATATTCTTCCAATAAAATAATTTTTACACACAAACCCAAATTTTTCCTACATCTTATTTCCATATTCTCAAAAAATAAAAAAAAATCACCATTACAAAATCTATTATTCCTAAAAATGGGATTCAAACGAGCCTTACGTGCAAAATTATTTTATTGGAAGAATGTATAATTAAATATGAGTTTTGAGACAAAATGAGTTTTTTTTTAAATAATGTTATCTAGCACCAGTCTATATGTCAATATGTGATAAGTTCAATTAAGTTCAATTATGTTATTTATTTAATTAAGTATTTTATTTAATGATATTTTGTACCACCTAAACTCATGTTGTAACACCAGTTATACTAAATAACATTGTTCCTTTAAAAAAATAAGGTTCAAATGAGGGCTTAAATTATAAACATGTAAAAATTAGCGGTGAATAATTAGATATTACTTGTGAATCTTTCGAAATTTATGAATAAAAACTGACTTAAATATTTATAAATATGAACCAAATATAGACTAATGCTATATATACCTCTAATGCATAGAAGTTTGATGCTCATTTTATTGTCTAATGAAGGTAATGTTATTTAGCTCTTATTTAGTTTGGTTAAGAATCAATTTTTTAGTAAATTTTAATAAAAATTGATTGAAAAGTTGTTAATTTCATTAAACGTGTGATTAAAAAATAATTTGAATAAAAATGAGTTTTATTATGAATTTGACGGCAAGTAGACATATGTCCAGTACATTAAAATGCATCATATTTTTATCGAACGTGAATCATAAAGTTCATTACCACCTAATTTGGTAAAAATATTAAACATTAATGTTTTCAAATATTACACAAATTTATTAGACAATGAATCAAACTAATGATGATCATAAAGGAAGGATTTCATGAACAATGTGATAGTGGCCCCCACATTGGTGGGTGCTAAACACTCATGATGAAAATAACAATACTCTTGAAAAATAATAGACCGTGCATAATTTTTTATTTAATAATAGTGGTATCTAGCATTATCAACATTGTACGAATTTAAGTGAAAGCGCATCTAATATTATAAAAAATAGGTCTAATTAAATGTAAGACGTATAACTCATTTAATTGGACATATCATGTAGTCCATATTTGACTTCAAAATTCCTTTTTTTTTTTAAATTGTTTTAAATCACATAACGTCTCAATAAGATAATTTTGCTTGTAAACTTAAATTTTCCTTTTTTTTAACCACACATT